TCTTCAACTTGAATTGCAAAGCTTCAACCACTATTTCCGCCAACCTCTATTTGATATGATCGTTATGACGTAATTCCATCAATCCTCTAACATATTGTTTGCCTAGAATAAATATAAAACACAAACACTAGACAAACGATATTAGATGTAAATTGTTTGTAAACCATCATCAAAACAAGAAGGCCAACAGAGGAGGCTGACGGAAATAAAGGAGGAGTTGGGTAGGGATTTGGGTATTAATAAGAGTTAACAATTTTTGCATAAAAGTCCTCTTACAAAGTTCACTTCGAAAATTATTACGGTTTGAGGGGTGAAGGATGTAATCGCGATGGTTACCCCCCGGCTCTGGGTTGCCCCAACCCCGGGGCTTGGTGGGCTTACCCTAGGGCCAGCCCTGCTCCTTAGATGTCACGAAGGTTAGGAATACCCTCATCATTAGCTAGACCGCCAACCAATCTGCCATACTTTATGCACCGTCAAGGACCGTGTCCGAGACCTCAAAGATCGCCATTGACCAGGTCGATGAAGGTTGATGGGCGCTATGGAGTTGAGGGCGAACACTATAGAAGTAATCGGCTAACTAATAATGTCGTTGGAGGGCTAATCAGCTAATAATGAGCTTGTAAAGCGCGCCATCAGTAATGGAAACCATCTTAATGTCGTTGGAGGGCTAATCAGCTAATAATGAGCTTGTAAAGCGCGCCATCAGTAATGGAAACCATCTAGATAATTTGAGCATACCACATCAAGAATAATGAGCTTGTAAAGCGCGCCATCAGTAATGGAAACCATCTAGATAATTTGAGCATACCACATCAAGACAAGTGATCATTAGCCGTCCAACTCATCTAAATTATTATTTACTAATAATTTGAACATAACAAGATGCTTAACATGAGTAACTAATGCTGAATTTGCCTCATTAGCTTGAAGAGAACAGTAATGGCAATACTATTGTATGTGTTGTGAGGGAATTATTGAGGTGGTAGGAGGAGCAGTAAGAACGGTGATGGGACGAGGATCACTTGTGCAAATCATTGAATAGTGCTTGAAAATTGATGGAACATTTTCGGGTCTATATCATCTTTGTTTCAATGATTTATTGATCATATCTCTCAAGTTTGAAGACCTTTGTTTCATGGCGAAGGAGATGGAGCGCAATAGATGGTGAGATCTTCTCTCCTGCTACACGTGAACTGCTGCTTAATAGATGAAAGAGGTGACTTATTGGTGATGGATGCACAAGTATACGCAATTGCCAAGAACAAGCAACTTCTTTAGGTTCAAAGAATCTTTTTAATATGCATGATTTCAGGGATGATATATGAAAACCATACTAATTTATAAATTGATGTATTAACATATGTACTACTTTCACTCAAAACTTCTTTCTACACTACAACAAAAGTTGTAAATTATGATATATTTTTTGTCTCTACATGACACATTTTTGTGTCGCACAAATAGAACGCGTCACATATCAAAAGTGTGGTTAGAGCATGTGTGGAGAGCGTTTTTCTACACATGTGTGAACGTGTCGCAAAACTCACGACACATATATATGTTAAAAGTGGTGATAAATACACGTGTCACAAAACTCTTGACACATACATGTTGTTGGCCTCTTTGTTTTGATGATGTTTAACAAATAATTTATCACTAATATTGTTTGTCTAGTATTTGTGTTTATCTATTTATTGTAGACAAACAATATGTTGGAGGATGGATGAAATTGCGCATTCATGATCATATCCAATGGAGGTTGGCGGAATTGTGGTATGAAGCCTTGCAATTCAAGTTGAAGATCCAAGTTTAAGCTTCATCCGCGAGTTTACCAAGAAGAGCTTCGTTGAAGATCAAAACTTGGGTAAATTAGTTTAGGTTTATATTTATGTGTGTTGGTACTTTAAGCTCAATTATATACACACACATTTTATTGGTTTCTTTGTGTGTGTATATATATGTATGTATGTATATATATATATATATATATATATATATATATATATATAATGACAGATTAAAGAACTAATTAGGGGTAATTTTGGGATTTCACCCTAACTCTTATTTAGCTGCCACGTTAATAGCTTTGTGGCTTGAAACCATTTGAAGATTTGGACGGCACCTCTTAACGGGAGAATAAAAACAGGGAAAAACAGAGAAAAATCACAGAAAAATCACAGAAAAAAAACAACAACAACACAGAGAACCTTCTTCAACCCAACCCTCTGAGAACCCAAATTAAAAAGTATGAAAAGAAAAGAAGAAGAAGAAGAGGAAGAAGACAGTGGAAAGGGAAAGGAAAAGAGAGGAAGTTAATCCAAAGGTATAAACCATTTCTCATGTTAATTTCTTGATTTAGAAGAGGATTGTTATAGAAATCTTAGTAAATCGAATCAAATTAGAATGAGTGAAAGAATTAAATGGTTATGAATGTGAAATAAAGATCTAGGGTTTGCAAATTTCTGTGGTTAGGAGGCATGGAATAAAGTGAAAATAAATAAATAAGCTAACCTTGTTTTTTTTTTTGGGGGGCGGGGGGGCGGGCGGGGGGGATCTTGCGCCGCTCGCGGCGCTCTCCCCTGTCAGTCGGGCCGGTTTTGGTCGCCGGCGGACCCCCCGTCGCCAATCGCCACCGCTGCCATGGCGGAGAAGAAAGAGAAGGAGAGAGAGAGAGAGATGGAAGAGAGAGAGAGAGAAGAGAGGAGAGAGAGAGAGAGAGAGAGGAGAGGAGAAGGAAACCGAAGGAAAAAAAAAAGAACAGATGAGGAGAAAGAGGAACGGAAAAAAAAAGAAAAGAAAAGAGAAAAAAAAAGAAACGAAGAAGAAGGGGGAGAGGATGGTGATCAGGTGCTGTTTTTTTTATAAAGGGAGGAAAATTGCTTTAAGCCCCCTGAACCATGAAAATTTTCAAAACAAACCTTTTAGTAATATAAGTTATGGTTGAAATAAAAAGAAAAAGGACTGGAAAAATATTTATCAAGCCCATGTCTTTTGTTCAGTTGTAAACCAGTCCAATCAGAGGAATAAACAATAACATTTAGACTTGATAATTCCCTATAACCCCCTGCATTATTATAAGTTACTAGAAAGTCCAAAAGCTAGTATATGAGAGTTATAAAATCTTGATAAATTGCTAAAATTAACAATAAGCTCATATGGACTGAAGAATTTAATCATTATTGATTATATTTGAGTTTATTAGACTCTAGATTATGAATTGATTTACCTATAATATATGTTTGTTCTGAATTAATAATTAGTCATATATCTTACATTATAGGTTCTGGTTGATATTCGGGAGACTAATATTTTGAGAAAGTCGTGACCACTAGAGGTGAGTTCATTTCTCACTAGTATTTTATAATATGAAATTGCATGAGTTTTATATTTGAAAAAAAATTGAATTTGGCTCTCGTGCAATTTTCAAATAATCGGGGACATTGTTTTATCTGAATGTTTTGATGAGGTATTTGGAACGTATTTCAACAGTTTAACGGATTCAAAGATTTTTTTTGTGACTTAATATCTGATAAAAGAAAAAATAAACATCCGTGAACTGTTTTAACAGAAATGAGGAGCTTTACCTTGTAAATTTCATTTGAAATATCTGCAAATTCTGATATGCAAAATATTTCTCATTTGACATGTGATCTCGATGTTTTTAAACCCTCAAATAGTCCACTATGGATTTGTTCTGCCTGCCATATGGTGAATGCACCTTTATTTGGCCCTTCTGTATTTGGCCTTGGCCCTTCTGTATTTCTGCCTGCCATATGGTGAATGCACCTTTATTTGGCCCTTCTGTATTTGGCCTTGGCCCTTCTGTATTTGGCCTTGGCCCTTCTGTATTGGCCCTTCTGAAATCTGTTCCGGCCCCTCTGTATTTGGCCAGTAGCCTATGGCAGTGTTAGGTGCATTCGATTCCCGGGAATTTATCTGTTATCTGATGCGGTTTACGCATTCCCTTGCTACTGGGCTAAAATTCGTAGCCTTAGTGTGACCTATGGGGTGACTTTTACATTCATGAAATACTCATCGAGAAATAAGATTCTGATAATTGACTGTGAAATTTAGAAAACAACAATTCTCTGATTTTGCACAAATTAGTAGTTCTTTCCCTTCTTAATGTTTACCTTGATTCAAAAAGGATTTGATTCCAAGAAAATTAACAGTTTATTTCAGTTGCACATGAGAAAGGAAATATAATTATTGTATTCTTGCTTAAAATGATAATATTACGATAATTGGATCGTATTCTGCTATCTGTGAATTTCTCATGCAAAACTTGAAATTTGTAAATTTCTGAGAACTATTCTTATTACTATTTTGTTAGTTATGTAGGAACTCTAGTGGGAAATGTTCTCACTGAGCGTTAGCTCATTCCGTTATTTTCAATTTTTTTTTCAGATCCGGTGTAGCTTCCTATTAGCCGATTTCTGGTTTTAGCTTTTGGCTGAGGGGCGTTATATGGAGAGCCTCTTCTTGTTGATGTTACCTTCAGCATATTTTGTTTTGTTTTGTAAAAATACTTATAGCGGTGAGCTTGTGGGCTGTAAGTACCGATCATATATATATATAGTTGCTCTGATTTCTATCATCAGCAGGTTTATAAATATTTTGGAATAAACTATGTGATATGAATTGCCAGGCTTGACTCGTGCATAAGACTTGTCTCGTGCACGGGTCGCTGCTGTCGCGTACCCCATATTTTATGAATTTCCTCTGCAGATTTTGGGGCGTGACAGTAAGGTGGTATCAGAGCTTAGGTTTCAACGTTAGAAACCTTGTAGGGCATGCTATCATAGAGTATATGCGCTAGATGAGTGTTAGAGTATGGATTAATTATGTGATATATATGTCTGAATACATATGTATATACATGTATACATATAAATATTTTATAGTAAAGCCTTTTAGGGTTGCTAAGGAGTGCTTAGATGTTTATTTTACTTTGTCCTTTTTCTTCAGTAAGCTGATGGATGGTTCCCCTTTTGTAGGATGGCGGGAACCAATTCATCTTCCAGTTCGTCAGCTACCCTGTCCAGCCCTATGGTTTCCGTAGATAGCTCGTGGGAACCCAGCCTGAGAGACTGGGGATACACTTCCGATGAAACTGATCCGAACGTGATAATGGCTAACCATATGACCCCCGACTCACCGGAGGTCGAACCAGTAGAAGTTGTTATGGTCGATTCATCCGAGTCTGAGCTTGAGGATCTCGTGGTAGAAGTTCTCCTAGTTGAGTCATCGCCTTCAATCATTATGATTTCATCCGACCCCTCCGACATGGAGTCCGTTGTAGCCCAGTTTCCTAGTGATGACCAGAGACTTGCCCCCTCTGTGGGTGAGTCGAGTAGCCTAGGCATTGGTCCAGATCTTGACCTTGAAGGATGGGGGACTAGCGGCATAGATCCAGATCCAATGTCCAATTCTGTTGATAGCCAAGACTCAGAGGAAACTGAACCAACAGAGGAGAAGTCTAGTTCCAACAGCTCCTCTTCTTCAGGGAAATAGAGCATAACTGTTAGGGCAATTTTGTAATATCAGTATATGAGTTTTCATAGTTACTCTTTTGGTTTATGTAGGACATTTTGGTAGAAAATATGTATATATAAACCCATATACTCAGATATGTGTATGAACTAAAAAGTTAAATATTAATAATATATTTTTGGTTTGTAAATACTGACTTGTGATATTATGTTGAGCAGTGATTGAGTTCCTAATTACTTAAATTTACATATGTGTGACTGACTTAGGAATTTTCCTTGTATAATAGTTGACTAAAATATTTTATTATTTATAGGAAGATATGGCTCCAGGTAATGAGCAAACCCCTCCTAATGGAGATAGGGATCTAAATCAGACAATAGGTGAAATGATGAGATCTAGAATTTCTCGTTCATCCACTTCCGGGAATCCAATAGATAACAATGCATTGATGGATCTGCTGCAAGCGGTGACAACTGTAGTCACCAGACAACAAGATCAAATTGATCATAATCGGACAAATGGTCAAAATGAGGAGCACCCAAAATTAAGAAGTGGCATGGGAGAATTCAAGAAACTATCTCCACCCAGTTTTGAGGGAACAACTGATCCCATGATTGCTGAGCATTGGATCACAGAAATAGAGAAGGTCTTCACATACATGAAATGCCCTGAAGAGGAGAAGGTTGATTATGCAGTATACATGTTAAAAGACCGCGCTTACGGATGGTGGCAAATGCAGGTCAGGACGTTGGGAGAGAAAGCATACAATTTATCATGGGAGGAGTTTAAAAAGATTTTTTATGAAAAGTATTTTCCTTCAACTGTTCGCAAACAAAAAGAACAGGAGTTTCGAAAATTGGAGCAAGGTGATAAGACAGTAGCTGAATATGAAGAAGAGTTCACTTATCTGTCAAAATTTGCCATTCACTTGTTGGGTAATGAGGAAGATAGAGCTCATCGCTTCGAGGAAGGGCTTTGACCGGACATTCGGAAGACGGTCAGTGCATTTGAACTCCCTACATATGGAGAAGTGCTAAAAAAGGCCTTGTTAATTGAGAAAAATGAAATTGATACAAAGCCAAAGAATGAGACAAGCAACTCCTACCCAAAGAAGCGATTTTGGCAGGATAATCGCGGTGGAAGAAATAAGAATCGGAGAAACAAAAAGCAGAATTTTGGACGCAGAGAGGAGCAATTTCCAAATCAGAAAACTTTAAGATGTGATGTTTGTCACAAACTGGTGCATGAAGCGAAAAATTGTTGGAGAAATACCGGAGCTTGTTTGAGATGTGGCCAGAAGGATCACAAAATAGCAAATTGTCCCCTTCAGCAATCATCTCGGAATACTTTCCAGACTGGCCAGTCCAGTGGTGGGAATCGGTATCCTCAAGCCAAGGCCCGAGTTTATTCTTTGACTGAGAAGGAGGCAGAAGCAAACAAGGATGTGGTGACAGGTACGCTAACTTTTGCATCAGTTCCTGCTCGAGTACTATTTGATTCTGGTGCATCGCATTCCTTTATTGCTGCACAGTTTGTTAAGAGAAACAAATTTCAATGTGATACCCTACAACAAGAATTGCTTATTAGTACACCTGGAGGTAGCATATTAGTATCAACTCAAGGTTGTAGGGGTAAAATTTATATTCTCGACAAGGAACTCCCCGTAGAATTAATGATGCTAGAAATGCATGATTTCGATATCATATTGGGGATGGATTGGTTATCCTTAAATCATGCTTCTATTTTATGTCGAGAAAAGAAAGTAGTATTCAAATTTCCTGGCCAACCCGAATTTTGTTTTGAGGGCGGCAAGTGTCAAGAACCCTTAAAAATTATCTCAGCCCTTAAAGCATATCGAGCGCTGAGAAGTGGATGTATGAGTTATTTGGCTTCAGTTAAGATGGTTGATGATGAAGAACCAAGTTGGGAAGAAATATCAATTGTCCGAGAATTTCCAGAAGTATTTCCAGATGAACTTCCAGGGATGCCCCCAGATAGAGAAATTGAATTTTCAATTGACCTAGTACCTGGTACGAGTCCCATTTCTAAGGCTCCTTATCGAATGGCACCTGCTGAATTGAGAGAGCTAAAAGTGCAACTGCAAGAACTTTTAGATAAAGGCTTCATTCGGCCGAGTGTGTCACCCTGGGGTGCACCAGTGTTATTTGTAAAGAAGAAAGATGGAAGTATGAGACTATGTATTGACTTCCGTGAGTTGAATAAAGTAACCATTCGGAACAAGTACCCATTACCGAGAATTGATGATCTATTTGATCAATTACAAGGAGCTCAAGTATTTTCCAAGATTGATCTCCGTTCTGGTTACTATCAGTTAAAAATCAAGCCAGAAGATGTGCCAAAGACTGCATTTCGAACCCGTTATGGTCATTATGAATTTTTAGTTTTACCATTCGGGCTCACAAATGCACCTGTAGTATTTATGGATCTTATGAACAGGGTATTTAAACCTTTCTTGGATCAGTTTGTTGTGGTATTTATTGATGATATTCTGATATACTCAAGAAGTAAAGAAGAACATGAAGAACACTTGAGGCAGGTGTTGCACACATTAAAGAGAGAACAATTGTATGCGAAACTTAAGAAATGTGAATTCTGGTTGGAGGAAGTAGCATTTCTTGGGCATGTAATCTCTAAGGAAGGGATTTCTGTGGACCCTGAAAAGGTAAAAGCCATTGTTAAATGGGACAGACCGACTACGGTGACGGAGATACGTAGCTTTCTTGGTATGGCTGGCTACTATAGAAAATTTGTGGAAGGATTCTCTCGTATTGCTTCACCTTTAACTCATCTTACTCAGAAGGGAGTTAAATTCATTTGGTCAGAAGAGTGTGAGAAAAGCTTTCAAGAGCTAAAAAGTCGATTAGTGTCTGCTCCAATACTTACATTACCCAGTGGAGACACAGGCTTTGCTATCTATAGTGATGCCTCTAGAAGAGGACTGGGATGTGTACTTATGCAAAATGGAAAAGTCATAGCATATGCTTCAAGGCAGTTAAAGCCTTATGAACAAAACTATCCCACTCATGATCTTGAGTTAGCGGCAGTAGTGTTTGCTCTCAAAATTTGGAGACATTATTTATATGAATACTGGAATTGAAATTAGAGTCCACCAAATTGGAGTTAAATTAGCAAATATGGTAATACAACCCTCTTTGCTAGATGAAGTTAAAGCAAACCAGCAGAATGATCCTCAACTGTTGAAGATAAAGAAAGATGTGGAAGAAGGCACACGAGGAGAGTTTATGATACATAAAGATGGATCATTGAGGTTTGGAACTAGAGTTTGTGTGCCTAACATACCAGAGATAAAGAAAAAGATTCTAAAAGAGGCACATCACTCTCTGTATACTATGCATCCTGGATCAACAAAAATGTATAAAGACCTGAAGAAAATATATTGGTGGAATAATATGAAGAAGGAAATTGCCACCTATGTTGCAGAATGTTTCACTTGCCAACAAGTAAAGGCTGAGCACCAAAGACCAGCTGGATTAGTCCATAACTTGGACATACCAATGTGGAAATGGGAAAAGATCACCATGGATTTTGTCACTGGCCTTCCAAAATCTTTGAGAAAGAATGATGCAATTTGGGTGATTGTTGACCGGTTGACAAAGTCAGCACACTTTTTACCTATCAATATAAAATTCTCATTAGAAAAGCTGACTAAGATGTACATTAATGAGATAGTAAGGTTACATGGTATACCAATATCAATAGTTTCTGACCGTGATCCTAGATTCACATCAGAATACTGGAAAAATGTGCATAGAGCTCTGCAGACTAAACTGAATTTCAGCTCAGCTTATCATCCACAGACAGATGGCCAATCAGAACGTACAATTCAAACACTAGAAGATATGTTGAGATGTTGTGTTCTGGAGATGAAAGGATCGTGGGAAGATTATCTGCCTTTGGCCGAGTTTGCATATAATAATAGCTACCAAGCTAGCATTCAGATGGCACCATATGAACTTCTTTATGGAAGAAAATGTAGATCTCCTATTCATTGGGATGATGTGGGAGAAAGAAAACTTCTTGGACCAGAGTTGGTACAGCAAGCAATTGATAAAATTCACTTAGTTCGAGAACGTCTTCGCACGGCACAAAGTCGTCAGAAGAGTTATGCTGATCAAAGAAGAAGGGAATTAGAATTTCAAGTAGGCGATCATGTTTTCTTAAAGGTTTCGCCTACCCGAGGAGTGAAAAGATTTGGAATCCAAGGGAAGTTAAGCCCGAGATTCATTGGTCCTTTTGAAATTCTAGAGCGTATTGGTCCAGTGGCGTACAGATTAGCATTACCACCAGCCCTGTCTGGAGTACACGATGTATTTCACATATCGATGCTTCGAAAGTTCATCCGAGATCCAAATGAGATTGTTGAGTTGTCCCCAGTAGAGCTCAAGCCAGATTTTACCTATGAAGAAAGACCAGAACGTATTGTGGATTATAAAGAACAAGTACTTAGACACCGAGTAATCAAATATGTGAAAGTTCAGTGGAAGAATCACTCTGAAAGAGAAGCTACCTAGGAGACGGAAGATTCTATGCGAGAGAAATATCCAGAGCTCTTCGAGATATAGGTATGTTAAGTTTCGAGGACGAAACTTTTTATTAGGAGGGAAGAGTGTAGTAACCCAACTAATTAAAACTTGATTAATAATTTTTTAATGACAGATTAAAGAACTAATTAGGGGTAATTTTGGGATTTCACCCTAACTCTTATTTAGCTGCCACGTTAATAGCTTTGTGGCTTGAAACCATTTGAAGATTTGGACGGCACCTCTTAACGGGAGAATAAAAACAGGGAAAAACAGAGAAAAATCACAGAAAAATCACAGAAAAAAAAAAACAACAACAACACAGAGAACCTTCTTCAACCCAACCCTCTGAGAACCCAAATTAAAAAGTGTGAAAAGAAAAGAAGAAGAAGAAGAGGAAGAAGACAGTGGAAAGGGAAAGGAAAAGAGAGGAAGTTAATCCAAAGGTATAAACCATTT